ACTCAATCGATCAACAATGAACTGTGAGCAAAGCATTTTATGATAAAAAACTTCAAATGCCTCACCTTACAGCATTATCTTTCGTTGTTCAAAATAATTATCATTTTAAATTTATGTGCATGCGTAGAAAACCAAACTATGAGACATTATTTATTTGTATTCTCCCTCTTGATCAAGGGTTAATATTTTTAAAATTCCACAAAAACAAACAAATAAAATACTGTAACAAGTACAAGTTTTTCCTTATTACAATCACTTCATTGTGAAACGTGGCCGTTATCTAATTACGCATTATACGAGGGCAATTCGAAAAGTCAGTGACTTCTTGAATTTCCAGCGCAGTAACTTTAAACGCAATACTTCTCTTGTCAACTGCCATAGGTTCATAGACTACTCAAAACTTTTGTGTCATTGGGGCTTTAGGCATCTCAACTCAGTGCATCATACATCACATTTTATATGAATATTTGGATATGAAAAAAGCTTCCCGCGCAACCGTGTGACCACTTCAAAAGATTTTTTGTGATGTTGAACCGCAGTCCGAACGAGTTTTTGCACCGTTCCGTAGCTCTTGACGAAGCATGGATACACCACAACATACCAGAGACCTGGGAACAAACAAGAAGTACACCAAAGAAGGCCAAAGTGGGTCGGTCGATTTTTGGGATGCACACGGATTACCTTGAAAACGATCACCAACGAATATTATTTAGAGCTTTTGGTCCAATATTAATTTGAAGCGAAAGCGACCACATTTAGCCAAGAAAGGCTACGATTCACCAGATTTAGCGCCCAACGACTATCTGCAGTTTTCAAACCCAATGAAATGGTTGGGCGGTAAAAGATTTGCATCGATTGAAGAGGTCATCACTGAAACAAACGCATATTTTGAGGACCTTGAAAAACCTATTATTTGGAAGGAATGACATAAAAAAATGCTGAAGTAAATCGAGCTAAGAGGAGACAATGTTAAGACATAAAGCGCTTTTTGCCGCAAAAATATATATTTTATTCAAAAAGTCACAGACTATTAAAATTCCCCTCGTATGTTTTTTGTTAAAATTTTTCATTATTTAATTTTCATTTGCTACTTCATAACAAACACTTTATACGTATCATTCGAACTGCAGCTCTCCACTTCTTTGGTAAGCTTTAAAATAAGTAAAATATTATATTTAAATAGCCAATTTTTGTATAAACAAAATACAATAAAAAGAATAAAATATAAAAACAAAAAAATAATAATAAAACTAGTAGTAATTGATGTTACGTGCAGTGAAAATAGGCTTTGCATAATATTTATACTTAGTTGCATGTAGTACTTTCAATGTGCATAGGCTTATTAAGTACATAAATAGTCACAAAAAGAAACCCTCCTCAAATAATCAAAAGAATATGTATAAAAACTAGTTTAAAAAATCTGTTTTATATATGTATAAAAAAAATTTGCATAGTAGTGAAAATAATGTAGGCGTAAGTTTATTTTCTCGTTATTGAAGCATATTTCTTTTTTGTTATTATTCTTTAAATAATTTGAGGAACTATTTAATGATTTTCAAACGTCTTACTAGTTTCAAGCTTTATAGTTGCTAAGCGCTTTCAAAACTTTTCTATAGTCTGAAGTTGTAAGGTTTTACGATATGTATGCTTTCCGCGAAGGACGCTTTCATGTAACTACATACATCCCTATGTATTCATTTTTGGAAGTCTATACTTCCAACCATATTTAAAAAAGCTTATCATTTCTGAAGTTTATAAGTTTTCACCAAGCTTTTAAGTTAATGAAAGCGAGTGATGCTCAAAACCGCGCCCGCGGGCAAAGCATTTCAAAGCTTTCTATACATTTTGTATAGATGTAAACAGGGTAAAAGCTCTCTCTCGCTCTAATCGTCACTAACGTCAGTATATTAATAACGACCAGTGATGGCTCATAAACCAGCATGTTTACGCAAAATCCATTTAAAGCCGTAATAAGCTTCCCAGCGCGAAAAGCTTTGACTTTTCATGAACAATTCGTTGGAATGGTAAGTAGAGCTTTCACTAGGTAAGCATTCGTGTTAGATCCGCATTCAATTATCTCCAAAACGATTTGAAATTCATAAAAAATGTGATAATTTCACTATGTATCTACATAAGTAAATTCCATATCGTAAAATGCAAGATAAGTTTTTCCCGAAACATATCGAGCCCTTACCGCCAACAAGATGTAGGCGAAGTTTTTTCAAATTTTTATTTGTAGTTGTTCTAGGAACACTTATGCATCAAAAAGAAAATTTTTAAAAATAAATCGCTTACATATTTTTGGCGGCTTAGAGTTTTCAAGAATTTCAGCTATTAAATATGGGTATTCTCAGCTGTAACTTTTGTCATTACTTTTCCCAGAGTGAAGCAAAGTTTGTCTCCGCCTGTTCTTTCCAATGCATACGAGTCCCCCTCCCACGTAATAGCTCTAATTAAATATGAACTTCCATCGAAACTTACACACTTTAGCATTTAGAGTGCTGATGCGAAGCGTTGTTATGAGGAAATAAAAGTTGTAAACTTGAGAGCTTTTAGATAATTATTATAAAGAGTTGTCCAAAAAGCTTTTGTTTTAAGCCAAACTATATTAAATGTGAGGAAAGCTTAAAAAAGCTTGACAAGTGTGACCAACTGTTCTACTGAAGTGATGGGCAAGTATAGCTTTCATCTTGGTGATGCCTACATTAAATGCATAGGAAGTTTAAAAAAGCTCTGCGCAAATATATTATTTTGTCCAGCACAGTTGGCTACTCCATGGATATGCGCAAAAAGATTTTCTAAGCTTTCTGTACATTTTGCTTCAGTGGCGATCGAAACGTAACCTACATTAAAAGCTTTTTTAAGTATTTTGTGGATTTAACATGGGCGCGCTAAAGGTAAAAGCTCTCTTTGGTCGTCTGTTTTATAAAGAGTTGTCCAATAAGGTCGGGTACATATTCAAATGGAATGGAATGAAACGACCGGTGCGTGAGGTATCGACAAGAATCTTTTGTTATTTGAAAGGCCCACGAATGCCATTATGTATGGAATAAAAATTTTTTCTTATGGCGGCACCTATACGAGCGGATCCATTTTCAATCACTTTGTAATAGCGATGCAGAGTTTAAACAATGTCTTGGGTATATTTGCATAAAGTCTTGGTGGTCAATTGACGCCAGCTCTGCGAGCTAGAATCGTACTCTCATGGTCATCAGTGACTGAAAAGTTAGTTATAGACTGGACAGGCACCATGAAAACAACATCGCGTCCCGAGGGCGCCATTGGAAAATCATTTATTTACTTGAATAAGGTAAAAGGTGAAGCTTTCTCTAGCCAAAAGTTGCTGTAATATAAACTTTCTAAATAAAAACTTCTATAAATATTTAAGCATACATATTTGACACCCAAAGCTTTTATTATGACGTTAGCGAGCTTTCACAGTACTTTTTGTTAATTCATGCAAATTATTTTAATTGAAAGTATCTTACTGTTAGCACTCCTTAATTTATTGTACATATTATGCAAACATACATACTATATAAGGAAAATATTGCTTACAAGCGTTAAAATGTAAGCTTCGATAAATCGCAACAAATAT